TGCATGGCGATGTGAAGGTGCTGAGAATACGTGAAGTGTACAGAGGAAACGTAAGAATAAGGGAGACATGGGAACAATTTTAGGAATTATATCAACACTGAATGGTGGTGTCAGGTGGGGAATGATGTGAGCATGATTTACAATTTTGTTTCGATTCGATTGCGTGGAAATTAGTGGACTAATTAAGTCTATATTGCAAGACATGTTCGTCTTTTGCAAAATTTCGACTATCCTTAAATTAGGAACTAAGGTAGTTTCTTATATAATGGCACAAAAAAACATTTTTGAGCCTTTGGCTTGTGGAAGCTTATGTTGTAAACATTTAAGTAGTAGGTGTTTTTACAAGTGATGATCTTTTTTAGGAATTGTTTTAGGAATTGTTTTAGTATCAAGGATAGTACAAATATCATATTGATTTTTTAACCAACACAAAATAAGACTTTGATTACAAGAAATAGTTTTACAGATTCCTAATGTTGTTGGATTGCATTTACTTGGGACAAATTATTTGCTTCCTAGTTTGATATTAAAACTCTTGTTTTGATAACCAAATTCTTGTTGCACTAAACTACATAAGAATTTGAAGATATATTTTGTTATTGAGTATATAATTGTAGATGGAGGATCTTTTGGTATTTTCTATTTCTATTGGTTCATTCATGACTCCTTAAGCAATAAAACTAAAAATTGTAAAACTTAACAACTACCTTGCATCTATAAATAAAAAAAAACCATTATTTAAGTTACAAATATGCTAATAATAAGATTGAAAAAGTTATAAATATCTATTTTTAAAGTGCAACTTTGTTGAAAAAAGAAAGGAAAGCAATAAAAATCTAAATTTTAACAATTTAGTGGAGGCAGATTTCTTGTATTCTATCAAGTTTATTTACATTCAATATTATTTAAAAGAAGTAAAATAATATGAATTTTTAAGATTATAATTAGTTGATAGTAATATATTCATTGATGGGTATGTAATATATTGTTGAATATGAAAAACATAAATAATAGTATTAATATGATTGTTAAATATCAAAGAATATTTTAAGATGCATAAAGTTTCTTTTTTTCTTTTTTTCTTTTGTATACCATATTATTTGAATTTATGTTTTATTATTCAAATATGTATGTACATATATAAATATATGTGTTACTCTACTATAAAAAAAAAAAACCATAACTAAATATATCATCTATTTATAAGAATAAATAAGAGGAATTCATTTTTTATATGATTTTTTTTTTCTTTCTAAAAATTTTATTTTGCATTTCAAATTTTATTTTGGTAATTTAAGATTATTAAAAACCTTATTTGATTTATGACGAATTCTTGGACTTGTTTACATAACACAATGCTTTTAAATCATACAATGCAATAGAATCACTATATAATACAACTTTTAAGTCTTGCTCATAATTTTTTGATGGTTTAGGATTTAGTGTTAATTCAAAAAATTAGGATTAATATTTTTTGAGTTAAATTTTGCAAAATTTTGTAGCATTTTGATTTTTGTCTTTATTATTCTAAAGTCGTATTTAGAACATATCTATATATATTTATATGTAGAAAAATTAAATATTTATAAATATATATATATATATATATATATATAAGTTTATCTATGGTCTTTTAAAAATACCTATATCTGTTTTATTTTATTTTTTGTACTTTTAAAGTCTAATGTACTACATGTTTTATCTCTTTAAGACATCAAGTCATAAATCCAACATACCAGCTTATTTGAATTCATATATTGTATAGTATATTATTTAATAAAAACAGCCTACTATTGTCTAAATAAGTCCTGCCATTAAACAATGTAATATTTGTTAAATTTTAACTCTAAAATTTATTTCCTATTTATACCTTTAATTGCTTTATTTTTATATTTTTTATGTATTAGTTTTTTAGTAAAATTATAAAATTGAATAGTAAATTTTAGTATATTATATATAACTAATTATATTTTTATTAATATAAATCTATATATCTATCGGTTTTATGAAATAGTTTTAATAAAAATACATAAAATAATGGATGCATTTAGAATTGTTTTGTAATTCTGATTTTAAAATACTACGAGGTTTTAAGTTACACTTCTTAAATTATGTTATTGATTGAATATTTTATAAATTTTTGCAATAAATCTTATATTATTTTAATTGAATTTTATGCTTAATAATACATATATTTGTTAACTAAAATGAAATAAATACAAAATTTGACAAATTAACTTGACTCTTATTAAATTTGACAAGATTTAACTCTTATTAAATCTTAATATGCATGAAATGTAAGCTTCTAAAGTTCTCTTTAATCCGTATTTTTACCATTCATTGGAGCTTAGCATGAAAATAAACCTTCAAATTTAATCTATCTTTTTAGAAGAATTTGTATTGAATAAAATCTAAACCTAGTATCTACTTAAATATAGGTGTAATTCACCCTAACTAGACAACTTTGATTCTAAATCTAATCTAAAAGAAAGCCCTACTCTTGAAAAAATATTAAATTCTAAACAAATCTTATAGTTTAATAATTTCTAATCTAATTACAATTTGATTTTAGAATTTTTTAAGAGATTTATGAAAAAATATTTATTCGTAAAAAATATATAAATATTTAATTTTTTAAAATTATTAATCCTAATTTTAATTTAGTGCTTTAAAAAATATCCTTAAAAAAATCTTAAATTAAATAAATTCTATATCTTAGCATTAAAAAAATCTCAAAATTTAGAAATTTTCTAATTATAAATTTTGATTAAAAATATTATTATACTAGTCAATTTGATACTTTTGTAATCATCTATTAAACCAAAATTTGAATAAAAGTTACTTGATCAAATTAAAACCATAAAAATCTAGAATATTGTTTAAGGAAATAAAATTGATTTATAAACCTTATTTTTAATTTAGATTAGTTAGAAACATTTATTTAAATTATAAATAGAAGAAAATTTTGCTATAAGAGTTTATCAAATTTATTCTTAAAAATTTAAGAATTTATTTATAAATGAGTATTATTGAATAAAATATTATGTATAGAACATTGAGTTTAAAAAGAATTTTTTTAAATTATATATTTTTTATATTAAAAAAAATTGTATTAAAAAAAATTGTGAGCATGGTAAATATGATTCTTTATAACTAAAAAGTATTAGATTTAAAATTATGTAGAAGTACATGATTTAGTATATTTCATGCATTAATTAGACCAACTTTATGACATTATGCTCAAACTTTGCGTTTCTCTTGTGTTACCTTTTTTTAGATTATTCTCATCATTCATTGGCTATCAATTTAAATAGGTATACTTAAAATATTTAAAAATGCTAAAAATCTTAATTTAAATGAATATCAATTTTAAATATTTATATTCTTTAATTTTAAAATTAAAAACTAATTCTCAATGGAATTAAAAGCAGTTGTTATCTACCTACAATAATCACAGCCTATTACAAAGATATTACCCGCATTACATTGAGAACAATGATGTGTATTGTCTTTTGAATTCATTTAGCAAGATTGGTTTCAAAATTTGATTAAGCTGCTTTCATGATAAGGTGTTCTTGTTCTATTTGTTGAGTCTTTTGCTCTAATTCCTTAGCCATCATCTCTCTTCATTCTTTAGCTTTACATATCTTTTGACATAATTGGGCATTGTAATGAGAAGTTTGTTGTGGTGTTGTTTAGTGATTTCATTGGCTATTTCAAATGTTGTGACTTATTAGTATATGATATAGAAGGTAGCCTTGTGAGCTGCAATTGTACCTTAGGCTACTTTAAGCTCATTTCTAGTAGATGTTAAAATAGTCTCATAAACTACAACCATACCTTTGGCCACTTTGGACTTGTATTTATTACATATTAAAGCATATTGAAGTTCTCCAATGGTATTTTCTTAGTAGTCAATGATGTACTTTTAATCTTCAATTTTTGCCTGTAATGTGGAGGATTTTAAAGTACAATCTACTATGCCATGTATACATTGCTCTATAATCTTGTTGGTTGTTATGAGCTAGGTTGTGTGGTCTTTGTTATTATTAGCAAAAGAATGAAGATTGGTTGTTGTTTGGAATCACTTTATCAAGCATTTTTAAATGAATTCTTAAAAGGAATAAAATAATTTGAATGTTGGCTTATTGTAGACTACTAAAACTTAGATTATATATATATATATATATATATATAATTTGCATTGAATTAATCCAATGTTTTTGCCTCTTGCTTGCATGATTTGAGGATTAAGCATGTTTCTTTGTATTGCTTTGATGGCTATGTGGCTCTCTTGCATTGATTGTAGTATTAATATAATTCTTGTATTTATACAATGAACTTTAGTCAAGATAGTACATTGTGTTTACAGTAATAGGCTAGATAGTAATAGATGTATAAGCTGAAGAATAGACCAATGGAATTGTTAGCATGTAGATTGCAATTGAAATGATGCAATTCAATATAAAGACATTTGTTTAGAATCATGCCCTAATTGATGTATTTTTTATTGCATATCAACAAGTATATTTGCAGTCAATCTTCTTAAATTTATTTACAATTATTGCAAAAATAAATAGTGATTAATATATTGCAAAGTCAAATAAATATGGACTCTAAATTTTGTTGTCCAAGCTTGAAGGTGTTAGATCCATAGTTTTTATGGTGCACTCTTTTTGTAAAGTATTCAATGTCTAGGTAGAAATGCTTATAAGTAGTTTTGTTCCATGCAATGACATCTTTAAAGTTCCAATCAAAAACAAATTCAAATATTGAGTTGAATATTTGATCTTGATTTTCTTGATAACACCTATAGGATATTTTTTATCAAGAGTTATAGTTCAAATGAATTTGTTGCACTATTGGAGATTGATCTTCTTCTAAAAGTAATTGTAATACTTTAACAAATTTGCCTTCTTAGTCTAGGTTGTATTAGATTACAACTTCTATTGAATCCATGCCTTGTGGATATAAAACTTTGGCATTGGCTTGGTGGACAAATATGCCATCCTCTTTAAATCATCTACTATATGATAAACAAAAGAAGAAAAAGAACTATAAGGCATTACAATAAGTATTTGAAATTCTATTGCTATACTAGTATTTCAAATACTTATTTCAATTTTTATTTCAAAACAACTTCTAATGAGTTAATTACTAATATTAATATTGGA